ATTATTTCAATACAGATAACAGCCCAATAAGGTAGGTACCATTATGATCCCATTTTACAGGGAAGGAAACCAAGGTAAGTAATCAGACTATAAAGTCCAAGAGGGTAGTTAACAGTTCTCTGCTTTTCAACAGTGGATCCTCTTCTACTGGGGTGCCTGGAATATGGGAAATACTCAATAAATATTTGTTGAATTGAGTAAGTATAGTTTGTGTTCCTGTAACATCTGCTTTAAACACACCTTTCTAGCTTTACTGCACTCCCCCCTACATACAAACGAGAACGCTGGATTTTGCTCTTAATGGAACGAAAATTCTAAGCCCAAATTTGCCCCTTAGTAAGAGCTCTCCCTCCCCAAACCTGCTTCTTCCCATATTCTGCAAGCATCCTAACCACCAACCACTTGGACTCCACCACATCAACAGCCACCACCTTCTCAGAACCCTCAGTATGCCCCAGCAATCAAGGTGCCCCAGGGCAGAGACAAGCTAATGCCCTTCAACCCTTCCCCTCCTGAAACATATGGGTTCAGTCTTAGAGGTTCAGAAGCCAGTGTTACTTCCTCTTATTGCATTTTCTGACAGCATCCTCTAGAGGTTGATAAGGCTCTGACTGTGCCATTCATCTCTGGTTCCTCCAAAAAAAAACACTCTACGGTGAGGGGAGTGTCTCCGTTGGAGAGCAAGGGAAAGGCTAGAAGAAAGCATTCTGTGGGTTTCTGGGCCTGGGTGCTCAGGGAGTCTCCATGAAGTCAGGGGACCCTGGGTTCCCTCGGGTCTAAGGGACAGGGCACCTGGTTTCCCAAGAGTTCTGATATTCCCAATTCTTGGAAGAGCAAGGCCAGGATCCGGGGTAACTGGGCATTGGGGTTTAGGGGTAGGCAGTACCGAGATCTTGGGAGTGCGGGCACTGGAGCCCAGAGTTTTAGTGAGGCAGTCCCTGAGTTCTGGGAAGACCCGTCCGGGAATCTCTGAGAACCCGGACGCGAGTTCTCGAGGTGGGATCCGGGTTTCCGCCGAGAAGGCTGGTTATCGGCGCGGGACCCCGCGGTAGGGAAAGATGCCAGGGGCTCTGACTACCTGAGCGGCGCGGGACCGTGGGAGACCGGGGCAGGCCCGGGAGGCCCTGGGGCCCCGGGAGGGTCGCACAACGCGGACATCCCGGAGCCCTAGCCCGAGCCCGAAGCGGGAGCGGCGGAGCGGAGGAGGCGCATGCGCGCTGCCGGGAAACCCGAAAGGAACCAGCGACAAAGCCTCTCAGGAAAACCAATCCGGCGACGTCCGTGACCCTCACACATTGGTTCCGAGATGAGTCGGCGTCCCAGAACGGGGCTGCACCCGAAAGCGGGAAGCCGACCCACCCTCAACGCAACCACTTTTTTCCCCCGAGAGGTCTATTTACACAGACTAAGGCTAGCTGCGACCACTTAATTGGATTTAATTAATTTTCCTAAAGCCGAAACAAAATTTTCAACTCTCGAGGTTTTAAAAAAGGAAGCACCTTAGGAAACATTTTAATCAATAACCAGTGACAATGTAAAAAGCAGTTAAAGGAGAGAAGGGAAGAAGGAAAGCGGAAGAGAGACGGAAAGAAAGGAGTGAAAGTCCGTAAGAGAAGATGAAGAGAAGACAAGGAAAGAGAGGGAGAGGAGGAAGCCTGAAAAAATTGGGCTGGCTACGCTGAAGGTGTTCTCCCAGTCCTAGGTTAGCACTACGATCTGTGTCAGGCTCCCCAGTCTCCCAGTGCAGGGGGGCCTTCCCCAACCTCACATCCCCATAGCTGCAGAGAGAGCTTGGTAACCTTATGAGGATATAATACACACCTCATCAAGAGCCCCCGCTCCAACCAGTCTATCTAGATCACGTTCCAGCTATTCCACTAACCGGCTGTGTACTACATTTAACCCCTCTATGCCTGTTTGCTTTTCTGGAAATCGGGATGTTAATAGTACAATTACCTCACGGGCTTGTGAAAATTTAAACCAGGTAATATGTTACTGTATAGCACTTGGTGCCTGCAATGGTAGGTAAGCACTATATAAGCAACAGCTGTTTTTATTATATTTGTTGAATGAACTCCAGCTCTTTGACAACAGGGGTGTTGCCAGTTTTGTTAAAGACTTTATCATCATCACATACAACAGTGTCTTCCTGGCATGTAGCAGGCTCTTAATAGTTGGTTGGATGAATGAAAAGGAAGGTAGGTTCTGAGGCCTGTATTAACCAGAGGGCTTACTATTCTCAGTGGAAATGTGAGTTAGAATAACACCAGATGGTAGGTTCTAAAGATACCTTTGAAGTGACGGTGTTTTAAAAGCTAAATGATTAATTATGGTGGTTCTATATTTATTCTTAAATTTTAGAAGTTCGATCACTCATGAAGCGTATATGCTCTAGGACAGTAAATGAGACAGTTTCTGCTCCTAGCTCTGCTTCAAACTTGGACCCAACACTTCCCTTCTCTGGGCCTTGACTTTTGATCTATGAAAAGTGGCTTTTGGGGACTTCCCTGGTAGTCCAGTGGTTAAGACTCTGCATTTCCACTGCAGGCGGCATGCGTTAGATCCCTGGTGGGGGAACTAAGATCCGCATGCCTCACGACATGGCCAAAAAAAAAAGTGCCTTTTGAACCCGATAAATTCTTCCAGCTATGAGACTATTATGTGGTCCTTGCCCTTAAAGATTTCACAATCTAAGGGTGCTTGTTTTGGAGTTAGACAGATCTGGATTCATGTCTGCTATTAATTAGCAATATAACCCTGAGCAAGTGACTCAGCTGCTCAGAGCCCCTTTCCTTAACTGTAAAATGGCGCATGTTGTATCTCACAAACTTTTTGCAAAGATCACTTCAGATTATTCACCTATTTCTTTCTCTCTTTTTTTTTTCTTTTTCTTTTTTTGGCCATGCCATGCAGTATGCAGGATCTTAGTTCTCCGACCAGGGATCAAACCCGTGCCCCCGCAGTGGAAGCATGGAGTCCTAACCACTGGACTGCCAGGAAATTCCCACTTCAGATTATTTGTGTAAAGAATTTAGCACAATACCAGGTACAGAAACTCTTCTTTGAACGCAGCAAGCTCCTTTCTGCCTTAGGCACAGGGGATAGAACAAAATTATGAAAGGAGATGGGAATCCCAAGATGTTGAAATTCCTTCTCCCTGCAGCTTCTCCCCTCCTCTCCTTACCGCCTCTGAATATATTTCAGTTTCACACAAGTACTTTTTACTTTCTGTGTTCAAAACTGGACATAATACTGTCTCCACAGAAAAATAGCTGATACCAAGTTTTAGCCCAGGGGAAGTAGCAGGTGAGCCTGGAACATATTGTGCCAGACAGCAAGGAATTGCTCAGATACTGGTGGTGCTGTGTCAAAAGGACACAGGACCAGAACTTTCTTGGTGGTCCAGTGGTTAAGACTCTGTGCCTCCATTGCAGGGGGCACAGGTTCAATCCGTGGTTGGGGAACCAAGATGCTGTATCCTGTGTGCCCCCCCGGACCCCCCCCTCAAAAAAAAGACACAGGCTTTGGCTGGCCAGTTTGGTATGATTTGGAGCATGAAAAAGTGATAGTAACAGATGTTTAACAACCAAAATGAGATTTTAAAAAGGAAGTAGGGGTTTCCTTTACAGAATATGTAAAATGAGTAACATGGATGACTGAATGATACAATTAGAAAAATCACCATTTTGCAGCAGTAACTAATTCAGGTATGGATCATCATGGATGCTAAAACCATTGTTGAGAGGTCACTGGGGAACAGGGTGTTCATACAATCTCAAAGTATCACTCCATAGATTGCTTATTAATTACAAAGGGAAAGAATACCTTAACCGTGGAGAAATCTGACAGACACCCACTTAACACCAGGAATCACCAATAATGAGACAAACTAATATTATATGTGTGGACGAAAAATTCGCCTGCCTGCTATATCAGAAAACAAACAATGTTGCGGCCATCAAGCAATCAGCCACTATGACTGTCTCCGACGGTCTCCAAACAGGTTGCCCTCCATCAAACCATCAACCACTGCAGCCATCCCCAGCGGTGCACCCTGAGGAGATTCAGGAGGAAAAAGAACAGGATACTGGCCACAGGTGGTTAAGGAGCATATCAAAGAGCCGAGACTCTTGCATCTTCCCATACATAGAAAAGCACTAAATTAATTAACTTGAGAAGTCTGATTTTCTTTAATTAACAATAATCTTTGATGTCCCAACTACCTGGTTTTTGTTGCAAAAACACCTCTATATCCTGGCTCCTCCCTTACCTCAGAGCTATCTGACAGGCTGTCTTCCAGGTTTAAGTTTTCAGCAAGTCTGCTGAATCAAACATAATTCTCAACCTTTAGGTTGTGTATTTTTTTTTTCAGTCAACACTTACTTCCTGATGAAATGCAATGGGAAGTACACAATATCCTCTATGTAGAATTTTTCCCAGAAATGCTTAACCTACATCTATTGATGAGGAAACATATGGAAACACTCAGACAAACCCAGGCTGTGAGATATTCTTTAATTAATTAATTTAGGCTGGACTCTTCGAAGACACCAAGTCACCTAAGACAAGGTAGGGGTACTGTTCTGGATTGAAGGAGACTAAAGGGACATGACAATTAAACGCTATGCGTGATCCTTAACGGTGTCTGGATTGAGGAAACAATAAATAGCTATAAAAAATATTATCCACAGCTGAGGAAATGTGAATATGAAAACCTGAATTTTAGCTATTCCACCAACGTTAAATGTCTTAGGTGCTTTGGCTATATAGAAGCATGTACTAAGGGATAAAATCTCATCTGCAACTGACTTTCAAATGAGTCAGCCAAGACAACAATTATACATACTTGAACACACACATATATATGCAAGCGGGTAAGGAGATCAAGTATAGCCGAATGTTAAAAATTGGTAAATCCAAGTAGAGTGCATATTTAAGGGCTCAGTGTGCTAATTTCTTAACTTTACCGAAGGTTTGAAAATGTTCAAAATATAAACTTGAGGAGGGCGGAGCACAACACTGTACCCAAACCCTCCCTCTTCCAGGAAGCCTGCACTGATTAACAGAGCAAGGACAGAATATGCTTTTCCCCAGTTGACCACATCTCTGCACACATAGCTTCTCACTTTGATTAACCACCCCAGCCCTGGCTTCCAACAAACAGAATTTCTGAACGTTAAAAGGGAAAAATAATGTTCACTTTATAAAAATATAATCCAGCAAAGGAAGCAGAGCAACCACTTGTCCACCCTGGTCACTTGTCCACCCTGGTCACACAGAGGAGGTGGTAGGGCCAGTATCAAGACCATTACCTCCTCTGCTATCTCTACAGAACACCTTATTTTTGTCAGAAATGGAAAGATGGAGTGTCACTCATCGGGGAGACAGGGCCATCATGGAGGGTAGCTTCTTGTTGCCTTTGGTCAAGTTAAGAGCTGTGGGTCCTGTTTCCCAATTGTCTTGTTTCCACACTCACAGCCCCTTTTCATGGCCTATCCCCATTCCTACATTTAATCACACACATCTCAGTGAGAATGCTAGGGCTTTTTTACAAACGGAGTTGACTGCTTAGGACCCCCTCTCCAATCTTTCTTTTCTACCCTCTACCTCTCAATATATCCCTCCAGGGCAGGTCACTAGGCCATTAGGGAAGAGGAATCTGGGGACAGTGAAAAGGAGCAACGCTTTCTCCAAAGTCCTCTGAAATAACCATCGAGTCCTCCTGGCTCCAGCTGAGAATCTTCTGGTGGAAGGGGTGTGACATTTAGCTCTTATCTTCAAGGTCCTCCATGTCTACATCCTGGGGGACTTTTGTCTTCTTTTTTGATTTGGGCTGTGGTTCACTAGTCTTGGCTGACTTGAGGGGGGCTTCCACTGAGCAAAGGGAAAGAGGAAGCATTAAAGAACCCAAATGAACCCAGCTGGCCCCTCACCCCAGCTTCTGTGCTCTCGCCTCACCTTCCATGGCTGCTTTCTCTTTCTGGGCAAGCCGGATCTGCTGGAGGAGTTTTCTGCGCTTCTTCCCAGACAGAGTAATGTTGGCACGTGCACTGGACCTGAAGGATTGGTAAGAGCAAAAATATCCAGGTTAACCTGAACCAATACAGACCACACAGTGGTCCTGGTTACTGAAAAGGTCTTTGGATCCAAGTCAAAGAACTGTTACTTTACCTAAAACTAGTCTTAACACATACATAAAGTAACATTAATTGCTAAAATTTAGTACATAATAGAAACGTTTCCTCCTATTTTATAAATATATATAAATATATAAATACATATGTGTGTATATATATATGTATATACATTTTTTTTTTTTCTGGCCATTCAACATGCAGGATCTTAGTTCCCTTGACCAGGGATCGAACCCATGCCCCCTGTATTGGAAGCGCAATTGGTCTTAACCACTGGACCGCCAGGGAAGTCCCTTATTCTTGATACTTCTAACAGCAGATGTGGTGGGTGGGGGAGGTTTCCCACATCAAGTAATTCTCCAAATTCTCAATGGACGTTGACTGGGTGTCCTACAAATTTAACTCCATTTGGACACTATCTACCAGGACATAGCAACAGATACCAAAGGTTAAGTTTTCCCCCACTTCAAATGCCAATCACATATCCAGGTTGTTACCTGTACTTCTGATTGACCAGTCATAAATTGGGGTTCTCATGATCCCCTTCTCAGACTCGATAATTTGCTAGAACAGCTCACAGAACTCAGGGAAACATGTATTTGCATTTACTGATTTATTATAAAACGATACAACTCAGGAACAGTCACATGGAAGAGAAGCATAGGGTAAGGTATGGAAGGGGCCAGAGGTTCCATGCTCTCTCCAGGTGAGCCAGCCTCCCAGTACCTTCACCAGTGGACCAATCAGGAGCTGGTTCAAGAGGTTGTGTAGAGCTTAATCTACAGCACCCACCCACCCCCTTCCCACAGGCAGTGAGAGGGAATTAAATTTCCAATCCTCTAATCACTTCATCCTTCTGATGACCAGCCCCACGCTAAGTCACCATTTGCATAAATTTAGGTGTGCTCAAAAGGGGATCCTTATGAACAAAAAGTCACTCTTATCACTCAGGAAATTTAGCTCTGCCAGAAAGCAGAGACAAGGACCAAATATATTTATTATGCCGCTTTATAAACTAAATATTTATAATCAACAAGTCAGTGAAAGAATGGGGTGGGAACTCTGCCCCAAGACTCAGATTATATGCAAAATCTCACATGTGCCCTTGTGAAAATTCATCGAATGATTCGCCGCACACTTATGTGTGTGCTTTTAAATGTACTTATAAAAAAATCTGTGTGGGGCTTCCCTGGTGGCGCAGTGGTTGAGAGTCCGCCTGCCGATGCAGGGGACACGGATTCGTGCCCCGGTCCGGGAAGATCCCACGTGCTGCGGAGCGGCTGGGCGTCCGGAGCCTGTACTCCGCAACGGGAGAGGCCACAACGGTGAGAGGCCCGCGTACCGCAAAATAAATAAATAAATAAATAAATAAATAAATAAATAAATAAATAAATAAATAAATAAATAATCTGTGCGAGTGAATAATGTTACTTGGGGAGGTGGGGGAGTCCACAGCTCTCCTTAGATTCTCATCAGAGTCCAAGAACCAAAGAAAGGCTGTGAGCTACAGGTACAGTGAGAGACTAGCAGAGTTTAGGCACAAACGTTCCTTGCATAAACGTGAGTACACAAGGAAAGCAAAAAGGTGTTAGCTGCTCCGGAGCTCGACAAGGAGGAGGGAAGGAGGCATGGTGGGGAGGACCAAAAGGGAGAGGGTCTGGCACTCACGCCCGCTTCTTGAGGTGGTGCTTCGTGATCAGCCCTTCGTCTATCACAGCCCCGACCACCTGGTGCTTCAGTCGCCGCTCCCGGTTCAACACCCGCCGTCGCTTGAACAGCTTCTTCTTCAGCTCCTAAGGGGGAGGAAGATGCTTAATCAGAGGGGTGCCGTGCACCCGCGACCCGGGACCCCGCACCCGGCGACACTGGCCCATCGAGTCCATCTCGGGCGAGGGTAAAGGGCTCCAGGACGCTTGGGAAACAGGGTCGGGCTCCCACACAGTCACCGTTCGCGGCCGGTTGATCTTCCCCCCCGGAGCACCCATTGCTGCGTTGCGAAACCAGCTCAGGGCCCAGCGTTTCAGCTCTGCGCAGGGTCCGTGTGCGCCCCACCCCTCAGTCCTCCGCTAGCCAATTGCAGCTGGGAGGGGGCGGGTCCTGGTGCTATATAAAGGAGCCCGGTCGCGGTCTTGGCCTTTCCGAGGACAGCGACTGAGTGAGTGTCGGCTCTAGTGTTTTCACCGGCTGGCCGTGCGGGGTTTCTGGGTGGGGCTTGTTGACCCTCCTTTTCTTGGCGGGGATCGGGCGTGCGGTCCCGGTCCGCGTAATGTACGGAGGTAGAGGGAAAGGGCTCCGGCCCCCTCGGCGTCATGTCTTCGGTACCGGCGGCTTCCATTCCGCGGGTTCTATCCTCAAGCGCCGGGACACAGGGCTACCAAGGAGCAGGGCAGAACCGAGGTTCAGCAGACTCCTCCCCGGGGTGCTCACACCTTCTCCTTTGATTTCAGGTCTGTGGAGCCGCCCCAGGAGCCGGAGCTGTCGCATCCCCTCCTCTTCCACTTCCCGTTGCAAACAATAAAAGCCGTTCGTACCGTAGTAAGTTTGTGTCCGCGTTCCTTTTCTCCGAGGCTGCAGAGTTAGGGAGGCTGTACGCGTGATTCCTCACAGCGTATTTTGCAAATCTTCCCTTGGACCTCAGGCCCCTGCCGGAGTACGGGCGACATTTTCGCAGAAGTTTCTCCGGCCGACCTTGCCGTCACCTCCGGATGGCAGCCCTGCGCCGAACCCTCCACCTGGCGAGCCTGGCGGCGGCGGCCCGTCGCCCCGTGGCGGGTAGGGAAGGTGGACAGAGGGAGGGCAAGTTGGGTTCTTTGTTACACAGGAGTCTAGTCCCTGAAATTGTGCCGCTTAAAGCCCCAGGCCACATTGGTGTGGGTTTTGTTGCGTTTTGCTAGAACTGGGCGCTGGGTGACGCAAGTCCTCCACTCGTCCACAGGCTCCCTGGCTGGCAGCTGCCTGGCGGACCGCCGCCTCTGGGATAAGCTCCCCGCCCAGCCCCGTCAGGGCAGCGCGGGCACCTTCGACTGGTTCTTTGGATACGAGGAAGCCCAGGGGCTCCTACTGCCGCTGCTGCAGGAGGCACCAGCTGCCTGTCCACCGCGGGTGCTGGACGTGGGCTGTGGGACCTCCAGCATGTGTACGGGCCTCTACACCAAATGCCCGCACCCAGTGGGCGTGTTGGGGGTGGACTCCTCTCCTGTGGCTGTGGCCCACATGAACAGCCTCCTGGAAGGTGGCCAAGGCCAAACACCCCTGTGCCCGGGGCACCCTGCCTCACGCCTCCAATTCATGCAAGCTAATGCCCTCAACCTGCAGCCAGTGGCTTCCTCAGGCTCTTTCCATCTAGTGCTAGACAAGGGTACCTGGGATGCTCTTGCCCAGGCTGGTCTGCCTGGGGCTTACCAGCTGCTCTCAGAGTGCCTGAGGGTCCTAAGCCCTGGGGGGACCCTGATTCAGTTCTCAGATGAGGACCCTGACGTGCGGCTGCCCTGCCTGGAGCAAGGGTCCCAAGGCTGCACTGTGTCTGTGCAGGAGCTGGGCCCTTTCGGGGGCATCACCTACTTTGCTTACTTGGTTCAAGGCTCCAATTAAAGACTTTTAAAACCTGACCCTAGTGTTTCTGTTGGGTGAGGAGTTGGAGAAAGCTTCTGTCTTGGCAAGATGACCGGAAAATGAGGATTTGGATCCGGGCTTTCATATTTATTAGCTGTGTGCACACAGTATTGAATATTTCTGTGCCCCAGTTTACTCATCTGCAAGGTTGGAATAATACCTGGAGTTATGTGGATTCCATACAACAACAGGTGAAACACTTAGCAGTGCCAGGCACAAGCTGAGTGCTGAATAAAGAAGGTACAAGTGGGTCATTCCCCAGCCCAGTTAACCGAACTCCTAAAAGCACAGATAGGAATTCTTAATCCAGATTCCTTGGATATGACTTGTGTGTGACCCAGGGGCCTAACCTGTAAGCCTTCATTTTTCTCAGCTTGTAAAAGGGGAAGACTGTGAAAGGATAGGTAGAAGGGCTTCATAAACCTAGGTAAAATGTTTGAGGCAGAGTGATACTTACCCTCAAAGCTCCTGGGAGGCAGGAAATGGGAATATTCCACAAAGCAGCTTCTGCACACATGGGAACCTGATGCCGAGTCCCAGAGAGGACAGGGATTGGGGGCTTCCTGACAATCTGTCTCCTCTGGAATCCAGTAGGCATCTTGATCTACCTGTTCCTGCCCCCAGCTGAGTTCTGGGTTAAAGGTTCTTAAAGGAGATTTGGGGTCCAGTGAGCTCCAAGTCCAGCCTGGGGGGTGGGAGGGAGGGAGTTAGAGCCCATTAACAGTGAAAAATATACCTGATATATTACTGCATTTTTTTAAAGATAAAACAAATTCATGTAATTTCTTTTGCTTATAAAAATAATACAGCAATTATAATGAAGAGCCTAACTTAACAGCTTCAGTTTCCTCATGAGGAAGAAAAGTATCCTTCCTCACTGGGTCCTGAAAAATATATGTAAAAGTGTTCAGCACAGTGCCTGGCATACAGTAAAAGTAGCTTCTGTAACAGTATATAGACATGAAAAATCTGGAGGAGAAGGCATCCAAAATGTTAATCTCTGGGTAGTCGGATTTGGGGTGATTTTCTTCTTTCCCCCATGACAAAAATATCTTAAAGTATTAAAAATACATATTAAAAGGTGTCACCTATCTGACATCACAACTGCCTTTTAAAGTTCATCAACTTTGCCAACCACCTTGACTTTTTTTTTTTTTTTTTTTGCGGTACGCGAGCCTCTCACTGTTGTGGCCTCTCCCGTTGCGGAGCACAGGCTCCGGACACGCAGGCTCAGCGGCCATGGCTCACGGGCCCAGCTGCTCTGCGGCATGTGGGATCTTCCCGGCCCGGGGCACGAACCTGTGTCCCCTGCATAGGCAGGCGGACCCTCAACCACTGCGCCACCAGGGAAGCCCCACCTTGACTTTTATCTCCCACCTCTACATTTTTCTTCACTGTGTTTACTGAGCACCTACTGTGTGCTACTTTATGCAAGAGACACAACTAAGTTGTCCTGCTTAGACCATCCCATTCACAACAGCCTCATTTGAACCAGCCACCTCCCTCACCTGGTTCTTCACTTTGGTCCTGGAAGACCTCAACCTCCTCTTCCTCATCATCAGTGAGCAGCTGCAGCTCCTTGTGTGGCCACCGGAGCTCCCCACTCTCTTCACTCCCTTCAGCCTCAGCGGCTTCCACCACGATGGAGGGGAGGCGGGTCTTTTGATAGACAACCTGGATAGGCACAGCAGGGGGCTTGGGCCAAATTAGAATGAGTGAACAGCAAGACACAAGGTGGGGAAGTACTAACCTGAACATCCTGGTGACCTTCAACCTGGCCAATTTCTCCTCTGTCGTCCCAGAGAGGGTTGGTGAGTCTAGGACTTTCCGGGTGCTGGGAGGAGCCTGGGCTCTCTCTAGGCCAAGGCCCATCCTCGCTGCTCCCTGGCACAAGGGCCATGGGTGCTGATTCTTGGAGTGCAGGGTGGTTGAACTCAGTAGAGTATCCCTGCCCAGAGCACCCCACAGACTGTTCCTCTAATCTGCTTTGGAGCCTGGCCCCTTAATCACTTCTGAGGAGAAGAGGCTGACATGCAAGGAGATTATGGGCCTTTCAGGGGAGGGGACAATCCCAAGAGGTGGGATAGGAGCTTTATTTCTACTCACTCCCTGGTGACACTGGGAAAGGCGGAAGTAGGAGTTAACGAGGGCATCTGGATTAAAGCCCTGTGAGTGAAGAGCTTTGATAACTTGGAATTTTCTGGTTCTTACTGGGTCTCCCACATTGACATGTTTCTTTGTATCTTATTTAATGAATATTTTTATGGTGTATGCTATTTGCCAGGAACTGTTTTAAATGCTTTTCATATAAACTTATTTAATTATCCTAAAACTATGAGATAAATACTGTTATTAGCCTCATTTTCCGATGCAGAAACCGAGAAACAAAGAACTTAAACGATTTGCCCGGGGTCACACAACTAAGAGGTGTTTTCTTCTCCAAACTAGAATTCGGTATGTTACACAAAATCCATGGTTTAAAAAAAAAAAAAAAGGTTATATACCGTGAAGAGAAAGGTAACGTTTACTTTCAACAAGGAAAATAAAAAGAAAACATAAATATACCCTTCTCCCCACCCGGTACACTTGGCTTTGAGTTTTTGTTCAGGAGTTGAAGGGATTGAAGGCAGTCAATAGATTGATGTTTATAAGTATCTGAATGTCCTTAGGTACTGTATTGGAAAAGCACAGAGCACAGCCTTGACCCTCTATTGATCAGGACATTCCGGAGCTGGGCAATTGTAAAACTCACAGCAACAATGAAGACACTTACACTCCCCTTAGCAATCCTCCTCGGGATTTCATGACAAGGGGCCCCACGCTCGGCCCTGGGTGCCAACACCTCTTGACGTGGTCAACCTCCTCAGCTAAACCTAGTCTTAACACCCAGGCGCTCTAGCTTAGAAACGTTTCTGGGCCGGGCCCTCTCTAGCCCGGCCCCATCTCTATGGTTTCCTGTGTGAGGCGTTCTGCCCTGCGCAGATTGAGACGTCGCGGCGGCCTTGCTAGGCTACTGGAGGCTCCGGAGTGCGTCTCGCTGGTCGCGCGGTCGGCCATGGAGACCCTGCGCAAAGCGTTGATCGTGGGTGCAGTGCTGGGCGTGGGGGCTGGCGTGGGCACCGCGCTCTTTGTCCTCGTGACCCCGGGAGAGCAGCAGAAGCAGGCGATGCTAAAGGTGTGAGCAGCTGGGAGGCCGAGATGGGGCGAGTGGGCGGAGAACCGCAGGCTGGTAGCCCGGACTACGAACCTCCCTTTCTGCCCGCAGGAGATGCCGGAGCAGGACCCGCAGCGCAGGGACGAGGTGGCCGGGACCAAAGAGCTACTTCTGGCCACTCTGCAGGAGGCCGTGGCCACGCAAGAGAACGTCGCCTGGAGAAAGAACTGGATGAGTGGCGGCGGCGGGAAGTCAACCTGAGGCCAGACCTGCCCCCGTGCGCGCCGGGACCTCCGCTGCAGCGCAGGAGCCCGAGCCGGCCTTACTCCTCTGTGGGCCGGCGGGGAGTCCAGACACGCGCAGACCTCTTCGGGACCTGGGAAGCTGCCGCCGGGTGAGCACGTTCCCCCCCAAACCCTGCACTGACTGTGTTTTAACGTCCACGTCTTGGGCCAGGGCATCGGATGTGGCTAACTGAAGGAACCAATAAATCATGTTCCTCCATCCAGAGAGTGAGCACTGCGGTTGGACGCCCATAAAAGCCTAGAGTGTTGTGGGGGTCAGTGCTGCGGGCGGGCTTGAGTGCAGCTCCCGCCTGCCCCGCCCTTCATGTGACGCTGAAGCCCTATAGGCAGAGCGACCACGTTTTCAAAACACACGTCAGGTCACGTGGTTTGCGTGAGTGTACTTTCAGGGATAACCAAGTGATGTTCTTGAAATCGTTATCCTGGAAACTCTTGTGCAGTAAATACGCATAGAGGACACTCTGGGTGCCTGTCCTTCGAATGAGGTTGGAGAGGGGCTTCTAGCAATTAACATGTGCCATAATGCCTTCTGTGACCTTAATTCGTGGTAGGAGCGGTAAAAGGGGTGTGCTTTGAGTCAGATCTTGTTTCAACTCCTCCATGTTTTTAACCTCTGAGCCTTAGTCCTGTTCCATAAAAGGTGATAATGGGGACTTTCCTGGTGGTCCAGTGGCTAAGACTCTGTGCTCCCAGTGCAGGGGGCCCTGGTTCGATCCCTGGTCAGGGAACTAGATCCCAGGTACTGCAACAAGAGTTCGCATGCCGCAACTAAGAGATCCCACATGTTGCAACGAAGATCCAGAGTGCTGCAACTAAGACCTGGTGCAGATAAATACATAAATAAATAAATGGTGACAATTATCTTGAGAGTTGTAAAAAGGTGAACTTAGGAACGTAAAGTGCAGTGCCAGGCACAGGGCAGCCTCTCACTAAATGCACTGGGGTTTTCCTCCCACAAGGTGTTCACTGCAGTGGCTTTCAATTTCTGAATCCGTCACAGGATCCATTGGCGATGCCACTGATGGGATGAGATAAAGCTGTCAGTGGGGTGGCCGCCCTACAGCGAAGTCAACCATTTCACTCCCCTTTTGTCTATTTTATGTCCCGTGGTTCCAAACAAGATTGCAATTGATGGGGGATGGGGGGGCTGCTTGTATTAAATAAAGCCGGAACACACTAAATAAAGCTTGGTAACACTGAGGTGTAAACCCAGATATGAGCATTGGTGCAGTTTTCAGCTACTAGATGGTGAAGTCGTAAGCTGAGCACATTTGTCATGTGCGACCTTTACAGTTTACTTGTGGCCTCTTTCCTAGTCGGGGTATGAGAGGAGGGAGGTCAGCAGCTGTCTGAGGGAGCACGAGGATGAGGTGAGCAGCAGCAGCGCAAGGGGAGCTCGGCAGTTCAGAGCCTGAGCCCTAGAGTCACGCTCCCCAGAGATGTGTCCAGGTTCTGCTACTTGCTAGCTCTGTCAGTTTGGACAAGTCATGTGCTTTGGCGTCCCAATCTCTAAAATGGGATCATTGTACCTACAGCT